TTGCCTGTGGCGGCTCTTTGAAAGAATTACCAACTAGCACATAAAACAAATAACTTACATTTTTATAGCACCCCTCACGCAGGGCAGTGTCCCAGAGCGCTTGAATTAAGTATTAAAATTCCTGTAACCCCAAATTCATTGTGACCTTATCTTCTTGTCACCGGCCTTAGGTCAAGACTATGAGAATTTTTGGCACATGATCCCGCTGTGATGGGGGGGGAAAATACAGGATAACATCAAAGTTGGAAGTCTGGGAGAGAAAAATAACGGCATGTGGGGTCACTGTCATGGAGATGCCTAAGATGGAGGTTTGATGGAGGGTGTTCACCAGCCCTCCTGGCTACACAACGTGCAGGGCCCAGACCCCACCAAGAGAGACAACTCTGTTGTTATTTTGCAACAACATCCACAACCTGCTCTGCTTCAGGCTCATACTACAATATCCAAAGTGCACAGGAAATTAAGGTAATATATGAACAAAAGCAGGAGGGATCAAACTGATGAAACCTGATGATGATAAATGAAACTTGGCTGTTTCTCTCAAGAACAAATCCTTCCTTAGCTTCTCATCTTACTTCTCTCCTTTTTTGCAAGCTTTTCTCCTGCTCACTTCTAGTATCTCAGAGTATACCCAGACTGATGCAGATGCATTCAAAACAGCGTGAATCAGAACTCAACTAAACAAGACATGAGATATCTCAACCACCACTTAAATAAGAGATGGTTCCTCTGACCCAAAAGCTGCTCTATCAATAGTCCACTAGATCGTAGCTCACCAGGGCAATTGACATGTTCCAGAACTCTTCACTGTGGATACTCAGTACTCAATGTATCTAGCAACTCAATCAAGAAAAGGCCTTTGGCAAAAAGCTTTCCTCCCTGGGACCAAAATCTGTGACCACTTGGTGGGAAGGTTTCATTGATGACAAATAGTCTGAGCCTTCTCATCACATGTATTGTGTCTAGAGTCATGTGTTTAGAGCTATGGAGCTATGGAGTCCTGTAGCTCAGTGGTTAGAGCATTCGCCTCGCAAGTGAGAGAACCTGGGTTTGATTCTCAGGCAGGGCAAAGGTGGAGTCCTGTAGCTCAGTGGTTAGAGCACTCGCTTTGCAAGTGTGAGACCTGAGTTCAATTCCAGGCAGGGCGAAACCTTGGGCAAGTTTCCTTACTCCACATGCCTAATAATAATCCCTCCAAAAAAAAAAAAACAATAATTAAATTGGTCATTTTCAATCTACGACTGTTTGTGGGACATTGCTGTGCGCAATTGGCTGCCGCGTTCGCCCACAAATATACAGTCAATTCACTTTACAGTGTGTTCTGTGAAGCGCTTTGGGACGTCCTCCCGACGTGAAAAGCGCTATATCAAATGCAAGGATTATTATTATTATTAAGGTAAGTTTCCTAACACCACATGCCTCTGTTCACCTAGTGGTAACTAGGAACCCGTTTGTTAGTCGATTGACGGATTGCTTTTCCGGGGGTAATAATCCCTTCAAAAACAAATCAATAATAATAATTTGGTCACTCAATGCATGATTGTTTGTGGGACACTGCTGTGCGCAATTGGGTACTGTGTTTCACCAACAAAATATACAGTGAATTCACTTTACAGTATACTCTGTGAAGCGCTTTGAGACGTCTAAAATGTGATAAGGCGCCATATGAAATGCAAGGATTATTATTATTATAGTTATTTATATAAGGAACAGCACTTTTACAAAATAAACTCTGACAACTTATAAAATCAATCCAGAGCCTTTCCCAGCTACACTCCATAAATACACAGCTGTTTAAAGCGATGCACTTCTTACCTTGTAGATGAGTTTGTGGTGAAGGAATCGATGGATCCAGTAGATGCACATGTCGGTAAAGAAGAGGAAGGAGACCATGCTTAAAATCACCCCAAACCAGCCTGACAGAAGACAAGACAGAAGATTTGGATGAAACCAGGGCAGGATAAACAGCCTGGGTTGACAGTTGCACAGGTTTTTGGATGTCTGCTGGGTGCAGCGCTCAGCCAGCGAAAAAGAACTTACATTTTGATAAGTTACATTTTGCAACTGAAAACAACAACAACTTCATTCAGTGCTCTTCACACGGGGCAGCATCTCGGAGCACTTAATCACCAAACTCACCAAAAGGAGAATCCTCAATATGGTCGTAGAGCTTGCTGTATCCGCGGACCTCAGCAAAAAACAGTGCGACGGTTGGAATGCTTATCCATGGCATGGAATGCATGGCACAATGTATCTCACGTCGCACTTGGTTCTACAGTGAGGAGGGGAAAAGAGAAGGAAAGGGACACTTTACTGCATTTCCTCAAATGATCAAAGAATCTTACAGCACAGAAGGAGGCCATTCAACCCATCATGCCTGTGCGGCTCTTTGAAAGAGCTACCAACTAGTCCTATTCCTCCGTTCTTTTCCCATAGACCTGCAGATTTTTCTTTTTTAAGTACCGATCCACATATCCAATTAGTTGCAATTTCTTTTTAAGTAACTTGATTTTCCCCCTCCTTCCAATAAATAACTTAAGGGTGTTGATGAAAGTAAATGTCCAAGGAGGTTTTAAATCAGGTTTTGAAGCTAGGGGAGAAGGAGCAAGGTAAAGAGATAGTGGAAAGGAGTTGCAGAGAGCAGTATGTGAAGGTTTGGCAACCCATGGTGGGAATGATTAACGAGCAGCACAGTACAGGAGACGTCAAATCTTTTTAAGTAAATAAAGATGCTGCTAAGGTTACAGTTAAAATCGGAAATGGGAAGATTTGATTTTGTGAGGCACAATGTACGCAGTGTTTACAAGGAAAATAGAGAGAGGATAGATAATGTGTTAAAAGGAAGGTTCAGTCACACCGTCTACCCTGCTTCCACCTGAAAGATATGACCTGTAATTAATCCCATTAATAATGGGAATTGTGAAAATAACACTAACAGCCTGTGACGGTATCCATGACTTTCCAACAATACATCAGCTATAAAGATTCTCCTTCTCTCAACACAGAGGAAGTACTGTTGAAACAATGTGCTGATCGAGCCGGTGCTGGTGCTTGTTCCCGTGCTGGAGCCAAAACTCTTAATCTCATTGCCCTGTTCTCCCACCATTCTTGTGTACAAAGGCTATTTGTCTAATTGTGCAATGGGACGTGACTTCCATAGCCACTGTTGCAACATTTCATTTCATTCCAAGTCCAAATTTATGGCTCATGTCAGTCATTTGTTTCATGGCTGTTTGTGGGACGCTGTTGTGTGCAATTGGAGAGCCGCGTTCGTCAACAGATGCACAGTCACTACACTGCACGGTAAATCCCGTGAAGCGTTTCGGGCTTTCCTCACAATGTGAAAGATGTTATACCAAACGCAAGAATTATTATTTATTATTATTATGCTCTTTCCGCAACCCCCCTCCCCCCCCCCCCGCCCAAAATAAAATCCACCAGACATCTTCCCGCTGTCCCCCACTTCCAATCTTCTCTCAGCCGCAGTACCTACCGGCAAGAACTGAGGATGTTTCATCAACCTGTGATCAAAGATGAAATAATAACTAAACATTCCGAACAAAATATAGATGACGGAAGCTCCCAGGTTAGTGACGATGAGGAGGCTGATTTATATTTTGTAGGCGAAACACAGCAGCCAATTGCGCACAGCCCCGGATTGAGTGACCAATTTATTATTATTTTTTTTAAGGAATTTGTCCCCAAAAAGCGATCCGCCGATTGACTAACAACCGGGCTCCAACTTACTGCTTGGTAAATAGAGACGTTTGGAGTAAGGAACTTGCCCGACGTTTTGCCCGGCTGGGAATCAAACCCAGATGTCTCGCTTGCAAGGCCAGTGCTCTAATCACTGTGCTACAGGACTCCATAATCTGGCTCATGTCGTGGATACTTAAGAGTATCAAACAATAGGCGTTATTGTTGAGTGTAATTTTACTATTTACAAACTTAACCTCAATGTTATAATAACTTGTGTTTTGTGTTTAAATAATAAGCCACCTGACAAATTTGGGGAAATAAGTTTCAAAACTATTTTGAAATGTTTTCAGAAGAACAGCATGCAGTTAAATACAGAATGTTGACACAAACTTCTCTGTAGCCTTTTGAGTCTTGAATTTGTTTCCATGTTAAGCAAACGTTGTGCTGTGGGAATACAAATTAACCAAATGTACTTAACTGTAATAAAAACTTCTTGCTTTCTGCAAAGAGTTAAGAAAGCTTTCATATCGTTTCCTCTCTAGTCCTGGAGATCCCAAACGACAAAACAAGGTTTGGATTTGGTTCAAAAAGTCCTTTATTGTGAACCTCAGAACCCTTTTGCTGACAGTCAGCATCCTGCTTACTTAATTCCGGAAAGTCGTAGGTGCAGGTTGGCAAGAGCCAAAGCTTGGGGACCCTGGCGTGTAGGTTGGGGTAACTGCTGGAGTCTAACCAAGCTAAACCCAAATAGCTGCTGTTGATATCGCTATCTGGCAAGCTTTCCTGCTGCTTGTCTCGGTGGATCACCCTACCCGTTAGGGCTTTGGCTTGCATCTGAAGCCCTCTGAGATGCTACCCTGCGTGGATGGCACTATATAAGTGCAAGTTGTTTTTGTTGCTGCAGGTTTTTATAGAGCGGCTGCTTTTCCTGGCCTGTTATCCGCTCACACGAGGTTGTTTTTAATGACAAATGTTCTTCACCCAACCATAAAATGGGAGTATTTGATCAGAAACCTGGCAGCAAGCAGATAGATCCAAGCTTGCAGATCCCTTCAGGCTCAAACTTTCAGAAATGTGGGAGGCAGCTGGTGTTCCTGCAAAGCGGTTTGGCACTTCTCCACATCAATTACATTCAGACTGACAATGTATTATCGACCCCAGTTGTTTTTCTCTGCTGCCATAAAATGAATCCGCTCTAACACTGAAGTTTACAGAATGCTTTCTTCCCCCATTAAAATCAGTGCACCTCAAACTTTGCTTAAAAAAACAATGCATACTTTGAAATTTATATGTTTCAAATAGTGCAATCAGCTCAATGTTTTTTTTTGACCCTGTGTTATCGCTAAATCACTGATTCATGATTCAAGAAGGGGGCGGGAGAAAAATCCAAGATTGAGCTGGAGCCTTGTTCAGCGCCTTGGGACGTCTTTCCGACATGAAGGGCACTATACAAGTGTAATTTGTTGTTGTTATTACAGTGCCATTGTGTCAGCGACACTGAAATGCTTAATGAAATTCTACGATTTAACTGATGATGTGAGTATGTATGTCTGTTCTGCTGTCATTTTTCCTTTGGGCAAGGCTAGCTGTTATTTCCAGCACCTTGATCACTATGCTAAAACCCTCTATGAGCTTATATATTTTATATGTCAGGAATTTAGAGGGCGGATGTGGAGAAGTCCTTTCTCTGTGTGAAATTAGAGATGGGGGGGGGGGGTTCATTTTATTTATTCTGACTGACATTAGTTGTTAACCCAAAATAATGAAATATTTTAGATGAAATATTCAAACAGAACTGGACTGATTCGTGATTCAAGCGGGTGGGGGGGGAGGAGAAAAGATCCAAGATTGAGCTAGAGCCAAGACAGAAATTGAGAATGATTATGAGGCTTGAACTGTTTAAGGATACCTGTATTCTATTGAATATATATTTTACAGGAAATCCTGTGAAGTGTTTTGAGACATTCTCCTAACATGAAAGGCGTAATATAAAATCCAAGGATTATGTATTATTAAATGTTACACTGCTCAATATCCAAGGTTTCTCACAAACACTTACTCTCCCATGACGTACCATATTTATGCATCAACATGCAGGTTATAGCCACCTTTTGAAGTTTTTGTTGTTCTGTTCCTCATATTATAAAGTATCTTTGACAGGTGGAATGCCCCAACGGGTATGGAGTGCTTCTGAGGCATACTGTTCTCATTTGTAATGTCACAAGAAACAAACTGAATCTGAGAATGATTGTGACTCAGAATGAAGTCTGACTCAAATGGCCCCTAATTAGTTTTAAAGCAACAACAACAAATTACATTTGTATAGTGCCTTTCATTCCGGGAGGATGTCCCAAGACTCTGATATAAAACTGAGAGGGTGGAAAGTTCACGAATAGTTCAGAAATTAACTTATTTCAAAAAAATGTGGCTTAATGGAATAAGATCATGTTGATTGCTATTTGCAATCTATCAGACAAATTGTTTCTTCCACAGGATCTGCAAAAGCCACTCAGGGCCAGCTTCATCCTGAATGTAGAGACTGAGGAGCTATTCATTACAGCAGGTCTCCAAGATCGAGTGGTTCAGGTACAATTATACTGGAAATTATAATATTGTTAAACACTTCACGTTCAGCTATTCAAGTGCATGTAGCAGTGTGGGGACATTCTTTCCCTCATCATAATTTCCTTCATTTCAGTGGCCCAGACCCTCATATTGCCTTCACTCAGTCCTTTCTCCCCAAGTAGGCCATAAGCAAGCTTTCTTGCCAATAATTGCTTGGATGAAAATGCCATCACTGAGGTTCTAGCTAGACCTTTCTACTGGCCAACAAAACAGTTTGAATTCAAATACTAAGTGAATGTAAACGGCAATGGGTTTAAGACCCACTAATGAATGTGATCCATCATAGATATTTGTTTTCCTTATTTAGGTTTATGAGGGGCTTGTTTACATGGATTTCAGCAAGGAACTCATGGAGACTCGTGGTTATGGTAAGCAATTATTATTAAAGCTATATGAATTTGAAATTCAGTATTATTAGGTAACTAAGAAAACTTAATTACGTTTGTAAGAAAAGGCTTTGAAGAGATATACTGATTACACATTAGTCTGGGATCCATAGTTAGAAAGTTTACTGAATGAATGAATCTTTTATAAATCTTTGATTTTCCCTTTTTCCTGCCTGTAGGAAACTATCTAAACATGGATATCAGCTGTGCGCCACAGTTCTGGCTCGCTTATTTGGGAGACCCGAGTGATTCTGGGAAGATTCATAGCAATGTGCGACAGAGGTGGCTCAATGGTTAGCAACCACCTACACTGACATTTTAAAAATTTATATATATTTGACTGAACATACATACACATTCCATATCATAAAATAATGAATCTTTCCAACAGTAAATGTACAGAGAATGTGATATTTCCGGCTTGTCCCTTTCCTCGTCCTTTCCCCAATAACCTCTGTGATATTGAGTACAGTACTAACCCAGATTATACCACTCTGGGCTACCTTGTTTGGTTCCTGCAAGCTGAGTACAGACTCTGAAATTTAGCTATTGATGTTATTCTGTTTGTTAATATTATACAAATTCACAACATGTGTTATTAATTCTTTTTACTTTCAAGGTGATTCTGATGTTGTGGCAGCAATGAAAGCTTTTGCAGAACTCACTGATCTGGCTAAGTAAGTACTTTTGTGGCATAGAAGGGTTGCATTCATTTAGTAATTACACAGAAACATCTGAACACTATGATGTTGGGAGATTAATGGCACAAAATAACAAGAATGACAGTGTAATTTGAGGATATGTACTTCTCAGCTTGTTTGATCTTTACCAGGAGTGATGTAGAGAGATTGCTTTTATCTTTGGAAAAGAAATGCTTGTTTTGTTACTTTGGTATTGAATATTTAACTTGGCATATTTCCTTTTCTGTCTTTCCTCTCCAGCAACTCCTCTGTAAGGAGATGCACAGTGTGCCATCTGATCTCCTCGAAGATAGAGAGTAGGTAATAGCCAGATGAGGAAGAAATACGAATTTAGGCAGGTGGTCTTTCACTTCCATATGCTCTAGAAATAGATGTAATTCATGCACTTAAGAAATAAGTCAATGGATTTGGGAAGTCTGGCTGTAAAGTAATGGGATAGCTGGTTTGCACCCTGTTATCAGTTAATGCCACTGATAAAGATCTGAGCAATCTAAATACTCTCTCCAGTCCTTGATACTTTATAGGCATGGAGATTCCTTTAGACTGAGTGACCTGACAGAGTCATTTACCAAAGTCTACCATATTTTAAAAGAGAGAACAAATTGGTCCCTTATAATAATAATAATAATAATAATCCTTGCATTTGATATAGCGCTTTTCACGTCAGGAGGACGTCCCAAAGCGCTTCACAGAACACACTGTAAAGTGAATTGACTGTATATTTGTGGGCGAACGCGGCAGCCAATTGCGCACAGCAATGTCCCACAAACAGTCGTAGATTGAAAATGACCAATATATTATTGTTTTTGGTTTTTGGAGGGATTATTATTAGGCTCTGTGTGGAGTAAGGAAACTTGCCCAAGGTTTCGCCCTCTGCCTGGAATTGAACTCATGTCTCTCACTTGCAAAGCGAGTGCTCTAACCACTGAGCTACAGGACTCCACGAATTCCTTATGTCAAATACTTTGAGAAACACGAGATAGAGGTAGCACCATCCACAAGTTATCCTGATGTGGGCCATCCTGATGGTGATGGCTTCTAATGTCAGTAAATGTACATGTGCTCCCAAACTCTTTGATATACAGTCAAGGAAATAAGAATCTTTTGTCCTGGTTTCTGTGTCATTCTCACAATCAAAATATTAGCTTGGGAAAAGACGTGCTTAGAAACTGCGTTGATTTGTTTTTAAAGTAGAGCAACATATTTGAATCAATTTTGGGTTCAACTATTTCTAGAGTGGATTTTTTCCGCAACCAACAACAAAATTGTTTTTGTATAGCACCTTTCACATTGGGAGGACGTCCCAAGGCCCTGATGCAGACATAGTTTCGGAACCCGAGAAGTGGGGCAGGGGGGGAAGCAGGGACATCGAAAGCACGGTCAAAGAGGATGGTCTTGAAATGGCTCTTGAAGGAGGCAAGGGAGGGGGTGAGGCAGAGGGACTGCGGGATGGAGACTGGGTCGCAGATGGACAGAATGTCATTTGTCACTTTGACCAGGGCTGTTTCTGTTCAGATTGCTGGGAGAGGAAGGAGAGAAGCTGGGAAGTAACAACTTGTTCCAGGACTTTGGAGAGGAAAGGGAGGTTGGAGATGGGACGGTAGCTTGGGAGTAGAGATGGGCCCTGGGGGGGGTTAAGGATAGAAGTGACGATGGCGGTTTTTCATGGGGTGGGAAAAGTACCAGTGGACAGGGAGAGGTTTTTTGATGTCCGTGAGTAGAGAGGCAAGGAGATGGAGCTGGGATGTAAAGGAGAGAGGTAAGGATGGGGTCGAGGAAGCAGGTGGTCGGTTTCATGTGGGTTATAGTGGTGATGAGAGAGGATGGGAGACAGGTTCGAAGGTGTAGAGGGAGGGATGGGAGGTGGAGATGGGGAGGGGATAGCAATGGAAGGGCAGAGGCAGCTGAGCGGATTCTCTCAACTTTGGATTCGAAGAAGTCTAGCATCGCCTCTCAGTTGGCATTTGAGGTGAGGCGTGAGAGGATGGACGGAGAAGCTGGTTCGTGATGGAAAAGAGGAGCTTGGGGTGGTCCTTAGCCTCCAAGATTGTCTTGGAGTAGAATGATGATTTAGCGGAGGTGAGGGCGGAGCGGTAGGATTTGATAAGATCCAGCCAGATCTGCCGTTAAGTTTGATTTAAGCCAGGTGAGCTCAGCAGCATGCATGTGTGCTTTAAGGGAGCAGAGGTGACTGGTGTATCATGGTGACTTATGTGAATAGGAGATGGTTCAGGAAGAGAGGGGAGCAAGGGAATCAAGAAAGGAGGAGGGGGAGCTGTGGAGAAGAGTGACCGAGGAGGGAGGAAGTCCAGAGGAGAAGGAGTTCAGTTGAGTCTAAGGCAGCTGAGTAGGAGGGGGGGGAGAGATTTTTTTTTAGGGGATGGAGGTGGATTGGGTGGCGGTGGGGAGCGCAATTGAGGAGTTAAGTGAGGTGAGGTGAAGTGATGAACTGAGATCACTTTGTCGATGATGGTGAGGTCCCGAGTGATCACCAGGTCGAGTGGATGACCGCGGACGTATGTGGCGGAGTGGATGTGGAGGGAGAGGTTGAGGGAGGAGATAAGGGAGGAAAAGTCAACAGAGCAGGAGGGGGTGAAGTGAAGATTGAAGTCGCTTAGGATGAGGAGGTGTCGGAGCAGAGGGAGAGGGAAGATAGGAGGGTGAAGATGTCGGGGATGAAGGTGGAGGAGTGCTTGGGGAGGGCAATAGATAAGATGGATTTTGAGGGAGGGCAATAGATAAGGATTTTGAAGGAAAGGTTGGAGGAGCTATAAAGGGTAAGGTGCTCAAAGGAGGGGAAGGTTCCAGAGCAGTAAGGGCCGAGCAGAGACCGGGAGATGAGAGCCACACTGCCACAATGGTGGTTATGTCACGCGGTAGCCGAATGGTTTAGCCTCCGTCAGGGGGAGGGTGTTGCCTGGAGTTATCCAGGTTTCAGCGAGGGCGAGTGTCGATCTTTTCATTGATGATGAGGTCTTGGACGGTGAGTATTTTGTTGGAGAGGAAGTGGACATTTTGTAGGCTGATGTGGAGCGGACAGTTGGTGATGGAATGTGGAGGGCGGGTGGGTGGGGGGGATGGGGAGGACTTACGGGAGGGGTGGGAATGTGGATCAAGGAGGAGAGTTTGGCCCCTGTGTTCAGGGACCGATGAGCCTTGCGTCGAGAATGGGGGAAGGACAGCCACTCTGGCTCGCTTTTTGCTGTTTGTGAAGCATTAATGGTTTCATTGTTTTCCCGAAATAAAAATGTAATTTTGGCTGGAACGAAATGACTGAGTTTGTTTTGTTCCTGTTACTCATTTTCCCCACGAAGACGAGGATTAATTTGTTTCTTTTTTTAAAAAAGCGCTGAATTTTTGCATTAAAGAATAAATGGCACTACTTTCGACCTACTTTCCCTTCCTGTTCTAGATTATGAAAGCAACTCTAAACTCAGCCTCTCTAATAAGGAAAGCTAGCTTAGCTGGAGAAGAAATACCAAGAGTCAAAAACAGATGATCTTGAGAGGTCGGAAGAAAATAAGTTGACTGGAAAGCTACAGCAGATTAGATGGTTCAGTGCTTGTTACATAGGAACAAACAGGAATAGGTCATTCAGCCCCTCAAGCCTGTTCCGCCATTCTATTAGATCATTATTATATATTTATTATGACCAATCATAGATTACCATCATCTTGTTAACAAACACATTGGATGAATTTCATCTCCATTTTGAGCAGCAGGGATCTCTTGCACATGCATCCATCAGATAGGGAATAAATGGGTATTTCATTTTAAGTCTGAAAATGACTTATTCCTGGCCTTTGGATTGTCATAAGAGCAACATCCCCTTCAAAGGTTCTTCCAGGATAGCTGCTATGTGTTGTGAAAGGGTAGCACTGGATCTGTGACTAAATTCCATATATTGTAAATTCCATAAATAAATTATTTTGACTGGTTCTTTCCCTCTACACAGGACAGCCATGGAAACTAGGAACTTCCCTGAGCTTGCTGAGTTGATGAATAAAAATTTTGAGCTACGCAGGTAGGATGTTTAATATAACATGAACATCTCGTATTGAAACAGGTGGTTTGCGTAAGCCTTGTGCCAATGTTGAAATGTGAATGAATCCATGAAACAACATTCCTAATTTGAACTGTGATACTGGCACTGTGAAGGATCCTAACATTGCGGTTTCATTAGACAGTGGGGCAATGCAGGAAGAGCTTTTATTGCAGTAGATAAAGAAGAACATGTGAATGATGAAAATCTGAAATTAAATACTTAATGAACATAGGGAAAATGCACAGCAAGTCAATCAGCATCTTAAAAAGACAAATAAGGTAATATCTTTAGTGGATTCTAAAGAATGGCTATGTCTCTTTCATATGTTTTGTCTTTGGTGTCAAACTTGGACAGATTATGGAAACTGTATGTTCCTTCGGGATTGGGATAATTTTCAGTTGTCTGAACAGCAAACACAGTGAAACGACTACATTTGAGAGCATCTAAATCACTACAAATGCAACATATTCTATGGGAGGGAGGAAGGAAATTTTGTAGGTAAATGCCACTCAAATGCATATATAAGTACTCATTTATATTGTGCTACCTTGGCAGATGTCTTGTTGCATTTTACTTGCCCATTTTCTAAAGTGGGAATTGTCTGAGACACGAAGAAGAGTGGGAAACCAATAACAATATATATGATAAAAACTATTTTCTGTGTTTAAGGTCGATATACACAGATGCTTGTTTGGGCAATGGAAATCTGAGAATGGTGGAACTTGGTAGAAAGGTATTGTTCAATTATAGGACACATAATATATGTATAATTTATTATATATATATGTATATATACCCATGGGTAATAACTACAAGCTAGTTTCCTTTTATCATCCCTCAAAGAAAAAAATAATAAAATTGATCACTTCAATCCACGACTGTTTGTGGGACACTGCTGCGCACAATTGGCTGCCGCGTTTGGGCCACAAACAGTCAATTCATTTTACATAATATTCTGTAAAGCGCTTTTGAGACATCTAGAAGATGTGATAAGGCGCTATATAAATGCAAGGATTATTATCGTCAACAAGTTCTATTTAAACAAATCAAAAAGAACAGCTGAGTGGAAGTAATCAAGAATGACTGTCATTTTGAGAAGTTGCTTGAAAAATGAAATCATTGAAAAGAATTATGATTATAGATGATGGGATTGTCACAAACTTTCTGATATTAGAGATATCTGTATATTTACCGGTACATTTTTCAACGTAAGTAACAGATGTTGCTCCTCTTCAAAATAGTGCTCTAGGATATGCCATAATATCCATCTAAATGGGCAGACGTGAATTTGGTTTAATATCTCAGAATTTTAAAATGACAATTTACTTTTTATAGCTGAATGATTTCTGGCAATAACACTGTGATTTGTTAATTTTACATTTGCAGTATGGCTCAGCAGTAAAGCTGCCTGGCAGTGGAGGAGCAGTGATTGGTCTATGTCTGGATCCTGACAACTTGGTATGTTCAGTGTTCAAGTAGTTTCATGTGTTACTGAGCAGGACTGGTTCCTGGAGTTTGGGAGTAAAATAAATTAATTCAACTCACATTTTTTAACTATATGCAGAAACAAGCTTGCATCACAAGTTTAAGGGAACTGAACTGAATCAAACAGGGAACACAAATGTGGTTCAATATTTTTTGCCATTAGAACTGTATTATTAATAATACTTGCATTTGGTATAGCGCCTTTTGAGGTCGTTGAGACATATCAAAGCGCTTCACAGAATATGCTGCAAAGTGGATTGACTGTATTTTGTGGGCGAAACACAGCAGCCAGTTGCGCACAACAATAGCCAAACATTGGTTGAGTGACCAAGTTAGTATTATTGTTTTTGGAGGGATTATTATGCTGCATATAATACACTCACCAGCCATCTCAATGTTATCTTATTGGCATTGTGCAATTTCTAACTGACGCCCATTCTCTTTCCAGGTTGATTTAAAGAAGACATTCCAGGAGTCAGGATTTGTTGTATGTGATGTTGTTCCATGCGACCCTTCAACTTCACTCAAGAAGTGAATGCAATCTTCTCAACGTGTTGGTAATAATGGTACTGACTGCAAACAGCACAATAGGCGAGAATTAGAAAGTTCAGAAAAAAGGCCAAGGAGTGAACATTTTTTAATTGCATATTGTTTAATTTAATATGCTGGAAATATTTTCTTATGAAAGATTATTCATATTGATACTGATACTGGTTTGAAAGCGGCTGATAACTAGCATGTCGCAGATTCCAAGTATATTTGAGATGAGGGAATCCCTGACACTAATTACCAATACAATCTGCAGTTCTCAACAGCTGACTCAATAAAACACGAAAGTGTTGATACACTGGTGTACCATAGAATGCTACCAGACTGGTACATTTTGGAAGTGGTCTAAGATAAATATTCGCTCAATTTCAAAAGACACAAACAACTAGGGTTGAGAACACTGAGGATACACAAGAGTGATTTACAAGTGGATATTGGATACCTATTGGATTTCTGGATGAAACTTTGAAATATCCTTTAGGTTCAGGAAATGCCAATTTATGGCATGTAACTCACTTGTCCATGTGATACAGAGCTTTAGACCTTTCACACCACAGAGAGTTTTCAATAACTTACCAAAAGTAGGGAAATATTGTGAGTTCACCATTCACCTCTTATAAATGTGTTTTATTGTAAGGTTTTCGTCTAAGCAAGAGTAATTATATTTTTTATTTGTAGAACCTATTTATGTATCAATTTATCCGGTACAATAATACGAAGATACTGGAACAATGTAATTGTAATGTTTTTGATTGATCAGTGTTATTTTCTTTAATTGTTTCAGGAAAAGAAAAATAGCGCTGAAACCCTTCACTGTTTTGTGAAAAGTTTCATTTTGTCTTGCTTTCTAGGAAAAGGAAATATTCAATAATCATCTCATCACTAACCAACTATCAGGTCTCTTTTGGTGGTACATCTCCCACCTCCACCCTCTCCTTGCCCTCCACCCTACTTGATTCCAACCCCCAGTTCAGGTGTAAACCCTTGACTTGTCCAGCTCCATGGGACATACTCCCGATGTGAAAGGCGCTGTATAAATGCAATGTGTTGTTATTGATGCATCCAAAATAGAAATAGAAGCTGATGTTTTTAATATGTTTATCATCATATCTATTTTTATATGTTACAGTTCCAGAGAATGATATATTTATGGAGTTGTATAATGAAGTGAATCATTTGAGATTTTGAAATAGACTATAATTGTTTTATTATTGCATTTTTTTTCGACACGGGTATTTTGCGGTACATTTAGAAATTACGTACCATTTGCCAGAAACCTCCAGCACACAGTGGTTCTTTGAGAAAAACCTAAAATACAAATGAAAACCTATATCTACGCGCGCCTATTTTAAAATAGCAAACACAAAATAAGGACTGGCATTTGAATCAATGCATAAAATTCAATTTTACAGAATCGGCCACAGATGTGTGCAGCAGCTCTCTACAGGAAAATAGGAAATGTGATTTTTTTTTGCCGGTTATGTCGCACGACATCCTTCCAGACGTTATTGAAAATAAAATATTAAGCAGACAAAAGACTTGGGAATGGGATCATCCTTTGCAATTTAACGTACATCTTACCGAATCTGGTCGTGGTTCCCCTCCCCATCCGCAGCCAACCTTGGCTCCCCATCCATCTCCGCAGCCCGGCTCGGGTGCCCAGACAGCACTCTTAAGCTCTTCGGGACGTCTAACACCCCGTTCCCCCCCCGTCCCCCTCCTCGAACTGAAAGATCGCCGCTATGACAATGTGTAATAATAACCCTTGCATTCGATACGGCGCCTTATCACATCGTTGAGACGTCTCAAAGCGGTTCACGGGATGTTACTGCGAAGTGGATTGAACTGTGGATTGACTTGTTTTGTGGGCAAAACGAACGTGTAAAATTGTCCCAACGTTACCTGTAAAGGATGCCATTCCTGGTGGTTGGGGGGGAGGAGGGGAGGTGGGGGGGGCGGTTCCCATTTCACACGATGATGGAGGTACCGCTGCCCGGTCAGGACGGCCAGAAGTCAAAATTAAGTTTGTTGACCGAATTGCTCCGAATCCACCAAATAGCCCAATAATAGGCCAATTTGGTGGAGTCCTGTAGCTCAGTGGTTAGAGCACTCGCTTTGCGAGTGAGAGACCTGAGTTCAATTCCAGGCAGAGGGCGAAACCTCGGGCAAGTTTCCTTACTCCACACAGAGCCTAATAATAATCCCTCCAAAACCAAAAACAATAATAAATTGGTCATTTTCAACCCACGACTGTTTGTGGGACATTGCTGTGCGCAATTGGCTGCCGTGTTCGCCCACAAATATACAGTCAATTCACTTTACAGTGTGTTCTGTGAAGCGCTTCGGGACGTCCTCCCGACGTGAAAAGCGCTATATCAAATGCAAGGATTATTATTATTATTATTAATTTAGGTTGAGTTCTTTTTTTGAAACCGTGTCGGAAAAGGTCTTCAACGGTGGGCGGGAGGGGTGGGGGGGGGGGAGGGGAAAAGTCACAAGATGGCGGCGGTACCACTGCCGCGGGGCGAGCGAGGAGGACACGTGGGAAGGTGTGCGCCTGCGCATGGCGGGGGGGGGTGGGCGTCACCCAGCCTCGCGCCGCGGCCGTTGGGTTTGAATGGAGGTGCGCGGGAACCACGTGGTGCGGGCGGGCGTTGATCAGGAGGCGGCGCGTCGCATTGGGCTACTTTTGGGGTGTGGGGCGGACTTTGGGCTGCAAGCTTTCAAGGCGCGTCGTCGTCGGACTACTTTTTGAGCTACAAGCGCGTGAGGCGCGTCATCGTCGGGCTACTTTTTGAGCTACAAGCGCGTGAGGCGCGTCATCGTCGGGCTACTTTTTGGGCGGGGCTTTGGGCTACAAAGTTTTTAATTGGGACGTTCTGATTGCTGACGACCCCTGGGACGGGCGGGAGGGAGACAACCAACCTCTCCCCCCCTCCCACACACACAGACACACACCCCTCACCCCCTCACACACACAACCACTGCCAGAGGACCGACAGGTAAGAGAGAGAGAGAGAGACGGGGGGGGGGTGAGGGTGAGGTAGAGAGAAAAAAAATTTTTTTGAAGAGAAAAAGCCATCAATTCCCAGAGGAAATGTCCCTCATCGTCAGCCATTTTATTATGATTGATGGCATTGTGTGTGTGGAGGAGAAAGCGGAGGCGAAGGCGCCTTCAGCCCTGGGACTCGGCGGGTAATGGCTCTCCCGCTCCGTCACGGCCGAAGCTCTTCCTCGCGAAAGAAATTCCGTTGTTGTTGTTGTTATTATTATTGTTTTTTATAATTACTGTTATTAATGATGTTATTGTTATTTTACTGTTATTATTGTTTTATTGTTATTATTTTATTGTTATTATTGTTATTTTATTATTGTTGTTGTTGGTTATTATTTTATTATTGTTTTTATTGTTATTTCTGTTATTATTGGTGTTATTATTGTTATTGTTTTATTGTTAATGTTATTGTTATTATTTTATTGTTTTTATTGTTATTATTACTGTTATTATTGGTGTTATTGTTATTATTTTATTATTGTTATTATTATTGTTATTATTGTTGTTGTTATTGTTATTATTTTTATTGTTGATATTGTTGTTATTATTATTGTTGTTGTTATTGTTATTATTTTATTGTTTTTATTGTTGATATTATTGTTGTTGTTATTATTGTTGTAGTTATGGTAATAATTCCGGCATTTGACCCGGCGCCTTATCATCACGTTTTCGAGACGACTCAAAGCGCTTCACGGAATATACTGTCAAGTGTAGTGACTGTGTGTTTTGTGGGCGAAATGCGGCAGCCAATTGCGCACAGCGGCGGCGTCTCTCTACCCCCCCACACACCCCACACACCCCCACCCACCACAAACAGCCGTGGATTGATTGAGTGACCAAATTTTTTTTGAAGGGATGATTATTCCCGTGAAAAGCGATCCACTAGTCGACTAACAACCGGGTCCCTAGACAGAGGCGTGTGTGTGGAGTAAGGAAACGTTTCTCCCCGACCCGCCCGGGAATCGAACCCGGGTCCTCTCGCTTGCGAGGCGAGGGCTCCGACCCTTGAGCTAAACCCTTTTTTGAGCTCAAAAAACAAATCCCAACTCAACACGCCGTTGTTCTTGGGGTGAGACACTTTTCTGTTATTCCTCGTTATTGGCACTTTTTGTATTGCGCTTTTTTTTTGTTTTTTTTGTGTTTAAAAAAAAACTTAACCCTCGAAAAATGTGCATATGCATAGAGTCGGATCGCGTCTACTGCTCCTATCAAAAAATGTCTGAGAACAAAGGGACAAAGCGAAGAAAGGAAATTGAGGTACATACAGTGTTGTGCAAAAAAATTGAACATTTTATTTAACTTCCCAAATACATATACGATCAGCCAGAATAGGGTTGATATGGCTGAGACTAACATTTACCTTTATCATATAATATTAATACTTGCATTTGATATAGCGCCTAAACACCTCGTTGAGACGTCTCAAAGCGCTTCACAGAGTATACTATAAAGTGAATTGACTCTATATTTGTGGGCGAAACGCAGCAGCCAATTGCGCACAGCGTCCCATAAACAGTCGTGGATTGAGTGAACAAATTATTTTTTTTATTTGAAGGTTTATTATCTCCGAAAAGCGATCCATCAATCGACTAACAACTAATTAGTATTATTAATATTAGTATTCGGTCTTTGCAGGAATCTATATTTCCTAGGACTTGTGAACCAATGCTTGATATATTCCAAGGTTAGGATTTCCACTCTCCTATCCAAATTTTTTGCCAAGTCACAGTTTAGAATCTGTACGGACTGTAAAAATTGATTGCTTAAAGATCGTTGCAGCTCCTGGATGCTTCAAGCTTTGCACTTCAAACATAATTAAATAATTGATGTGTAGGAGCTCCCACTCGAGTTACTTGGTGTGCAATAGGGATCTTTTATATATGTACTATTTCCCAAGTCAAATTTAATCTTATTATGTTTAGCTCCTTATCACGTCTCAAAGTGCTTCACAAAGTATCGTGTAGTGACTAAATATTTGAAATGACCGCACAGCCAATTTGCACACAGAAATAAATGGGAACACTCAGAATCACTGATTTCACTTTCTGCTGTTCATTGCCATATTTCTTTACTATCCACAGAACGAAGGTCCCGAGTTAACTGTACAAGCCAAAAAACATGCAGCATCTGCTTCAGATGTAACAGAGTTATTTTCCAATCAAAGATCAGTGGAAACAATTTTTCAAGGTGACAATAAAACATACCGCAGCAGCAAAATGTTCAAAATAGATTGAGTAAATCAAAATTATGCGACTCTTGAATTTCACCTATCTTTGTCAAAGTTTTGCAATACTGTATTTTCAAAGCCTGCTCACATTTTTTCTCAGCACATCAATGAACAGAATCACACATGGACAGAATACATAACATTATTCAAATATCAATAGCCAAAGAACATATTCAAATATAATGACTATGTAAATCCACATTGCAGTAGCCGCTTGTATTTGTTGGGGCGCCTGGTGATTAAACAAGAAATGGGACCTGCAAGACCTGATCTCCAGAACATAATTTTTTTAAAAAAAAGATTTTTATTGGGTAAAGTCATGCATTACCAATTCAGCAGAATAAAATAACTTTATAAATTTAATTTACTAAATAATAATCCTTGCATTTGATCTAGTGCCATAGCACGTCTTCGAGATATACTGTAAAGTGAATTGACTGTATATTTTGTGGGTGAAATGTGGGCAGCCAATTGCACACAGCACTGTCCCACAAACAGTCATGCATTGAGTGACCAAATTATTATTATTTTGAAGGAATTATTACCCCCGGAAAAGCGATCCGCCAATCGAACAAGCGGGTTCCTACTTACTGTTAAGTAAACAGGCTTGTGTGCAGTAAAGAAACTTGCCCAAAGTGATCATACATTTCAAAATAAAGGCCCTAAATATATATATCTAACATCCCAAAAGCAGAAAAGAAAAAAAAGGTTTAAAAAGTTGCGTGAACAGCACAACATACATTTGACGATCAAGCAGATATTGAGAACCCGATGACTGTTCATGCAGCCCCATTCCCCATGTTTTTAACAGATATAAATGAAGCAGTTAATGTTATCCTGACAGCTTATACAGAAACTTTAAGGTAAAGTAAGATCTTTCAATCATTTTAAACGTATTTAAACTCCGTAGCAATACCTTATTCTAATAAAACTCCTTTTCTTGCAACTTACAAAAGTGAGAGGACAGCAGTGAATGCCAATCATGCACATCAGCTGGATAAACTCCTGGAAGACGTCAGGGCTATGGAAATATATTTGAAACAGAAGAAAGAAGATCTACGACATAAGCTTACAATGATTGCAAGTGCCCTTCATACAGAATGATTTTTTTTTGCCTGTGCCT